CAAGCCTTTGAAAATGGGCCGAGCTCTAACGACTACACGGTAGACAAGGAACTTAGAGATCACCTCACAGAAATATTAACTTTCAAAAATAAACGCAAAGCAACAGTAGCCACTCACAATACTTGTCATATGTGCGAATCTGTATTCAGCATGATTATTCTTTCCACCAAGACGCATTCTTTCTGTGAGTCCCAATGGAGCGATGCTATGGCGTCCCTCGCATGATAACGTCGCAATGTCCAGCTGAAACAAAGTGAGCTCAATATATTCTACAATTACAGAATCCCTACCGCGTCCAGAGCACGGTTCTGCCGTTTGAGGAGAAAAGTTCCATACCCTAGCTCAAAACTTCGTGCTATGGTCTGACCCTCCCCCCCCCTTTTCGCCATTCCCCATCTTACCAACCATCTTCATAAATTTTCCCTATCTTTCTATCAATTTATCCTTTCTGAAAAGAAAATCCAATTCTCCACACCCCCTCTTCCCGAAAAGCACCGTCGTGCGGGGGCGGAGAGGGTATATGAAACAGAGGGAATCAAGAAAACCATCTCCAGTGACCAAACCTACCCTAGTTGAGGATCCCCAACGTACAAAGTGCCCTGAACGCAATACTACCACTGATCCTTCAGCCAGATAGCTGAACAAATATAAATGAGAGCAAATGTATTCACGAAGTTGCATTTAAGATAACTATTTCAGGAAGCATTTTCGGGGCACTACAGTGAAGGGCAGCCAAGAAGTCCGAAGCCAGGACACCATTTTGAACAAAGGGAATTGTTCACCCAAGTCGGAGCTCCGTGCCCCTACCCCCCATCCTGTCTCTTTTTCCGCTACCAGCTCTGAAAGCGCGTTCATACTTTGCGACTCAATAGAAAAGGTGACCCGCGACTCGACGATCCAGGACAATGTAACATTAAAAGCTAAATGGTAATCAAGTGACACCATTCGCTATCAACCTGGTAGAATAGGAGAATAGTAAGAGTGCTCTCGGCGTGCATTCACCGAGATGAGAAATCGATTCTTTCTATTTCTTCCTTATTCTTTCTATTTCTTCTATTCTTCCGAGTTCCATGATATGAACTCTGCCTAAATGCCACCTAATATTTCAAAAATCGATGAGATGGCTTGACGAAGCTTGTAAGGTGGCTTGAAACTTTGCGACATTGTGTTTTGAGCGAGAGGATAGCCTATGTGCCGAGCGGCGTCGTCCGCTAGCGTTTTGGAAGAATCGTGCTTGAGAGAGTTGGCGTTTTGAAGAAATCGGCATTTTGAGAGAATGAGCATATTGGGCAGATCGCGTTCTCTAATGAGCGGCGTTTGGGGCGCCGATCGATGCTTGTGCGATCCTTTCGCTCAAAACGCTGACTCTTAGAAACGCCGAGTCGCACATGAATAAAAAATAGACAACTAAACAATGGTCAGTATAAACGCAGTCTAATATTTCTCGCAATTGAGGAACATATTGTGCAAAATGAAAAACTTGCACGAACTAATGCAATGGAACGCCCCACGTTTGTGGGGTAGCGCCAACACTTTTCTTCCTTCATATCGTGTAAACTGAGATAACAAACCAGTGAGGTTTTTCCGACACCTCGGCTGCCGAAAACAGCAATAGCAATTTCTTCGCCTGGATGAATTCTCTCAAATGTTCGTCCGAATCCGGAATATACGCATAACGGACCGCATGAAGATTGTTCGCTCTTTTCGTTACCACGTGTTGGATGAACTGAAAATTCACAACTTGGATTTCTGCTTCATAATCTCACTGAAGGTATTCATTTACAACAAATTATGGCCTTATTAGTGCAGAAGGGCAGTTTCCTGTCTGAAGGCGCATTACACGACTGCAAGCAATAGAAGAGGTATAAGTATTAAGTTTGTGTGCTATCTGACATGCCAGTGAAGAAAAGCGCCAAAAAAGTCGTTTAAACTTTGAAAGCCTGCGGTACACATTCAGGGATTCTTCCAGACAGTCGTGGCATGGCTTCGATCACTTGTTCTCTATTTAAAAAGTCGACCTTTTCTCAGCCTGAAGGGGAAGAATCGCTTCCATTTGAATTTCTTAGTTTTCGTGGTGTCTGAAAAAAGTTAAGCCTTCATACCGCAGTTACAAACACTTCATGTTGCGATGGTACCTCCTTCGACGACTACTGCAGGATCCGTAGTGCTTAGTACGGGCTCCACATCAACAGGTGATGTCCTCGCTCCTTCATTTTCAAATCCGTAATCATCCACTGGCCCTAGAGATCACTTGCACATATTCAAGACATAACGGTTGACGATAAATAGAAACCTTCTACATCTCTTCTACGCTGACGACGACTAACTGATTTGCGAATGGCACAAATACTTCGACGGAAGAACGAAGCTCGCTAAAGATTTGACGACAACTATTACTTCAACAGCAAAACGAAACATAACTCACTAAGGCAGCGCTCATACTTCGCGATGACGCGCGTCGACGTGCTACAATTGCAACAGCGCTCCAATAATAAATACGCGAATGCAGCTGCAGAAGGGAATAGACCGATACCGGCTGTTTGTGGTCGGAGGGCAAGATAACAGGAGTGCAAGTGCTACCTTCACACAATCTGAAACTCTTTTTCATTCTGTACCGTCCTAAAGCTCTAGCGGCCACGGCCCATCTATACCAGATTGCGTGATTATGTAACGCGTGCCCTCCTTTTCCCCCATACCCTCTCAATACACAGGAGCCTGCGCCGATCGATTCCCGTCTACGGCTGCAATTGCGCCTATAGCATTGAGCGTCATCGCGAAGTGTTAAGCTGTCGAAGGAATTTGAAGAACTGTAGCTATGAATTCTATTAACGCTGCATCAGGGGGCTTCCTGCCCCTGGGGAAGACTTCTGCAAAATGCGACCCCTCAGAACCTTTCCTCTGGTACGGCTCTCAATGATACGAGCAAATACGTCCTTTTCTCTCACTGAGAGTATACTAAAGTTGTGGATAGCGTCTCGCCACTGGGGGACGACGGGCGCATGGCAATAGCTTTCGAACAAAATCTAGTTTTTGCGCCATTGATCCAAAAATTTTCAAAGAAAACATAATAACGAACTTTGAAAGGACTCGTCAGTGCAATGTCGGAATTCTCGGAATCATACACACAAGATAAATGAACGTCGCGTCCTAAAAAATACGAGGATTCGTTCATGGCGCTACTGTGAGAAAACAAACGGGGAACTTCAAAAATATTTCGTACCGGAGACACTTTTATGACCATCACGGAAGTATCGTCGTCGAAAAGTCACAGGCTTTATATCGCATGCGGGATCGTCTTCACTGGCATCTAAATCAACTCGAGGCAGTGAACCCATCGACCGATAGCTGGCTTCGCGACTCGACGCTGGTAGCGCTTCAGTTGAAGAGCCAGGTCTAAAAATGTTTAATGCCATGTTCCAGGTACAGACGTTCCTGGTAGTGGAGGAAACAGGCGTTGCAAGCAGGGTGACGTACGCAACATTCACACCAGAACCCAGCCCACTCTACACAGCAGCGGCGGTGTGCGTCAACTCTATCTTCCAAGTCAACTCGCACAGCAGGGTTCAGACTTTGCGATGACCGCGTCTTCAAGCTACCATTGCAACCCCGCTCAATTACTATAGACGGGAACACAGCCATGGACGGACTTCGATTAGCGCCGACTTCTACCGAGAGAGCATGGACGAATAGAATAAGAGGCGTGTTGCCTGATTACACAATCCGTTACTTTCCTTTTCTCCCACACTCTCCCAAACCAAGGGTGGCTGACGCCGATCAATACCGGTTTGCGGCTGCATTCCCGTCTATAGCATTGGAGCACGGTCATAAGGGAAACAGGTCGGAGGACGCGTCATTGGGAATTCTGAAAACTGAGCACAGCGATGCTTAGTATTTCCTTGCTAGTTGACTTTACACTCAGCAACGTTGCCACGTAAAATCATCTGGGTCCTGGCGCGAATACCTCGCACGTGGCACCGCAATGGCACTGTCGACTCTCCTGCTTGATTCAATGTTTGTAAAGTAGGCGTACCCATCAACAATTACTTCTGGTCCGATTATGGAGAATCTCGTACGTCTACGGCTTCCTCTCAATCCTTGGCGTCGCAGGAAAGCACTAGCATAGCCCTGCAAAAATAAAACAGTTTTAGTAGACAATCATCAACAAGGCTCGGTTGTAGCACGGGTACGCCGTACAGTACGTTACCAGTTAAGATGTAAATCAGTCATATCAAAGTTACTGACATATCCTGAAATGTCACTGACGACGATATTATACAGATAAGCCGGTGATTGATGCGCTGCGTGACGTCAGTGACAAGTCATTTCCTGCCACGTAAATGACATGTCGCTTTGTGTCGTCTTACATCGCATTCATACTCCGCGACATTGGAGAGTATGAGAACAAAAGAACGCGCCCCAAGCGACGATGCTACAGCTGCGACTCAGAGTGAATACCAATATTGCTGCTGACGTCACTACTAAAGTGAATCAGAGCGTGTCAGAGGTTTCAGTTGTACTGCGGCCAGTGGTTTCCCACCATCAATGAGGGCTGTGTTCCTTATGTACGTCGACGCTCAATTCAGCGACTAGAAAAGTATGATATGGACCTAGCAAACGCCAGCGACTACCAGATCCGCTAGCGTCTCAAAGAAGTAGGAGATTATAAACATCGACCTAGCGAACGCCAGTGTTCACCAGCGTACAGCGGCGTTTTCGCGGCACCGGGCACAGCATCTTCGATGGGGATTTTGGTCTAGCTTTTACGACCCCCCCAGGCGGAATTTCCCCAACAATGCTGTGCCCATTGTTTCGCGGGCAGTTCTGCTCAAATTTAAAAGTGCCCGCGAAAACGCTGCTGTACGTGGTGGACGCTGACGCAAAGTATGAACGCAGCTTGAACGACCGAGGTCGCAACGATGATGGAAAACGGGCTGGCAAAACCCTCGCCCACGACTGACTTCATTGATAGCGACTGTAAGTAAGAGAACCAACACTGGAACCACATGGCTCTCACATCATTAGTTTTGCTTTGAAAATCTGACACGGGATTCTTGGCTTAGCCGGAATTCTTCAACAAAACCTGGAAATAATCGATAAAAGTATAGGAAAGGGAGCAGTTTGGCAACGGGGGGTGGGGGCAATTCTCGCATTTGCTGCCACCCATCGACGTGTCGAGCCATCAAATAGAGACCTGTGAAATCTTGTGAAGCTTACGTATCCGCCCACAGACCAGCCAAAAAATTTGATAGACCACAGCAACCAAATGAGACTTGTAAACCAAGAGGTTTAGCTTGAAGCAGCGAATACGCAGAAAGTTCCTCTCCCCCCGTACCCGAACTGCTGAACAAGAAAAGGTCCCATGAAACTCACTTGTTCGAGCGCTATATTCCTGATTGGCACCTGGGTGTGTCAGTACGACAGGTGGGACACGATATGTTCTCACTTAACCAATGCTGTATGCATTCTGCACAAAATGAATGGCCACAGCTCAACATTGAAGGCTAAATCATGAGAAACTCAAAACTGAATTTGAATCATGCGCGAGCAAAACCCGGACCTTCCTAAAAATGTTCATACAAATTGAACAGCAGAAATCGGCTGGCAGTGAGGAAAGACGGCGCAGCGTTCGAGCCACCTCACCATTAGGAATTGTTAATCCCTGGAACATCCACGGACATCATTACTCCCAACAACGAAATCAAAACTCCTGCGGAAGCAAAAACTATTCTTACCGATTTGAGAAACTGGAGTGTTTGACGATGGCATGACGCGAGCGATCCATCGACGACATTTTCAGCGCTTCTGAGTTCCACGAAAATACCAAGGCGTTCTAGGCGTCTCCAAAAACCATTAGTTCAGTACTTTTTTTAATCACGTCACACTTGGGGATCAGGTTCTGCATCTTCACCTTAGTTTGGCAAAGAAGACGTTTCCTGCCGTCATGTGTTCTGAGCCAGGGCACATCGTTGGTTGGGGAATCCCCAACAGGGGGGTCGTATTTTGCCGCCAGGAGAGGGGGGGGGGGGTCGTAATGAGTGCGGTAGCCAGTAACGAGCAGCGCAAAGGTGTCAGTGTGCTGAGTCCCGTACAGCGAAATTTGCTTTGTAGAGAACTCGGATATGTAAAAAATAGTACAAAACTTTCATCATCAAACTAATCCGAAATAACTGGAAATATTAAAAGTCGACATCATCTCGTAAGTGACTAAACAGTACAACTCATACTCTGGTTCGCTGCGGATGATAGGGCGTGTCCGCGGTCGCGCTTGGCGCTGAGCCAACCTCTTTTTTTCGACGAAACGACAGGACTACCATATCGTTCGTATCAGACGTTTTCCAGCAGTTCGTCTCTTCATGGGAATCAGCAATTGGCGGAGCACGAATCTGGCGGCACTGGCGGCCTGACCCTCGAACCGACCCGTCGACACCCGATACGCTCCATATCCATCATCGCAAGGGAAAACACTGTAAACAAGTGCACAGGTTCGCCATGGACTCCCTGAATCCTATAGACACATTTGCTCGCGTGGACAGACATTACGCACAAGTTACACCATCCCATCACTTCTGCGCGGACCTCAGTGCGCGGCGCATCCAAAGTCAGCGTGATCGGCGCTAAACAAACCACATCCTGCTCCTGCTCCACCACAGGATACGTTCTACATGTATTTCTGGCTATTCGAACACGCTCTCTTGAAACCGTACACAGAAAACGGACTTTCGAACAGTTCGGAGTGTTCCCCAAATAATCCCCAACGCAATTATCTCATGACTCCCGGAAGCTTCAAAAAACGTTCAAGTAGTTTTTGGAAAGAGCAAATCTTCTAGAACTCGATAGCAGTTTCAGATTCCCAAATATTGAGGTTCAAGGGAAATATCTTTGTTCAAACCTGTAAAACTCGCGCTCCAAACTATCCAAAAAATGAAATCCCTAAATAATCCCAACGCAAATTTCTACATGAAATCGGCGATCTTTATGTACATACATGTTGGCATGTTTTGGAAAGATAAAATCTTTCTCCATAACCATACTGTCGCGTTCTTCCTTTTTCCCCTCAAAGCGTCCGCATAGTACGGAAGTTTATCGGGTCAGCTTGTGTGGTCATAGAAGACCCACTTTCCTGACCAATCGGCCCGCTGCGTGCCAGTTCAAACGCACCTGCAACCACATTGCGGGCTGCAAGCCCTGCCAGAAATCCCTCTTTTGCCGGTTCTCGGGTTCTTAATTTAGTGATTGGGCTGGTTTGCTCTCGTTCGTATTTTACTCTTGTCGTGTTTTATCTCCTTATCGCGCTTTTATTCGAATATCGAATATTTATCTTCTTCTCGGTTTACTCGAATATCGAACATTTATCTTCTTATCACAGTCTTGTATTTCTTCTAGCCTTTCCAAGATTGAGCAATTTTATTGAAGGCCTACGTTTCGGCGTCTTCGCCTTCGTCAGAGCCTGAAATGGTCAAAAAACATTTCGAGACCTGCTCGCTCAAACATTTCAACAATACTCAAGACGATTTCCACATACCAGTAAATCACCCAACGGTATCGATCTAGGGCGGAACGCTGGCTTACCTTGATCTTGGACGCTGTGACGCAGGACACACGCCTGTTAGAGGCTTCAAGCGTGTAATCAAACAACAGCTGGTTCGACAACCGATCCTATTGACAAACTAAGTTGTGCCCACCTGATTGTGTGCATCTGCCTCTTTGGCAAATCGGGTGACTGCTTTGAGAGTCCGGCAGTTAATCTATTTCGATACGCTGCCAGCAGCTGTGTTTGGAGTATTATAGAGAGGACAGGCCGTTCCCCTTTCGAGTACGGGTCAAGGAACATCTGGAGGGTCTTAGGAGGTCAAAAGCTCACACACCGCTAGGGTTCACCGTAGTCAGCACCATGGAGGCACGTCATTCGACGTAGCAGTGACCATCTTAGCGCAGGAAGTCGAGATCACGGCGCGCAAGACACTGGAGGCTTTTTGGATCACGGCCAGGACCAGAAGATGAATCGCAAGGAGGAGCGTGGTGCGTATAACGCGGGCTCACCAGTGTTCTGACTTGCAAGTTTTGACCTACCGAGAGGTCGAGGGAGGTTACAGTAATTCTTACTCCACGCTTGAGCCTCTACAGGGTGGTCGTCCCTGCGTCACGCGTCCAAGATCAAGGTAAGCCAGCGTTCCGCCCTAGATCGATACCGTTGGGTGATTTACTGGTATGTGGAAATCGTCTTGAGTATTGTTGAAATGTTTGAGCGAGCAGGTCTCGAAATGTTTTTTGACCATTTCAGGCTCTGACGAAGGCGAAAGACGCGAAACGTAGGCCTCAGTAAATTGCACCTCTAATCTTTGGAAGGGCTAGAAGAAATACTAAGATTTATATACAGTCCTCATCATTGCAGACCGGTGGGGCGGGTGAGCCGCGCCGCGTGTGACTCGGCTGTGATGACAGTCGCGTCACAGCCGAGTCACACGCGCCGCCCCACCGGTCTGCAATGATGAGCACCATACATCATGCCCCCAAGATTGCAAGAAGTCGAACATGGACTATCTTCTTATCAGTTTACTCGAATACGCGTCAGAGCGCGCCCAAGCAATTTTGCTTGGACCGCTCAGAGTGCTTTTAGGAGAAGTTGGCTTAATTTCCTGTTTTTTTTTAATTGCAATTGATTCAGGTACCAGAGTTTGTTTTGACTCGAGGAAAGGTGGGTGAAACCTAATGGCCTTTCTTTCTATTCTCTTTTCTGAATCAGGATAGAAATGAGCAAAAAGCGAGGGGGGCCTCGTTCAGGATTGTTACTTTTTCTATTTTTCGCGCTTACTTATACATAAACTTATGAAGTTTCTTCCTCCTCGGGAGGGGGGGGGGGAGAAACTTCAAAACTTTCATATGTTTATGGGGGGGGGGTCGTACCGAACCTCCAAAAGGGGGGGGGTCGTACGGGCTTCACCAAAATCCCCAACCAATGATGTGCCCTGTTCTCGAGTTGCATCCCGGTTAATCCACCGTAGCCATTTCGCAACCATTCTTTTTCATTTTACTCGTCACAAAAAGAGATTCTGCTGCTTCATTGAGGGCAAACTTCGCACTGAGCTCCGTGGATTGTAGTATTTGCCGTTGTAAGGGGAGAATTGAGTCGCTTCTGCATTTAGTTAGGCCAATTCTCCCAAATTGCCGAGACATCGCGCTGGAGTTGGGTGATAGTATCGAACGCGTCCCATGCTCTGCCCGCCGTGCCGGGCCGCCACCCACACGCCTTAACCATGGCCGAACAGCTATTTCTGTGCTCTCTCACCTTTGGTTAATCTGTACTTCTGCCTGCCTGTTCGTTGCGAGATTTTGTTACCAAGTACTGCATGTTGAGGATAGCGCGGGCGGAAGTAGGGACACACCTCTCGTTCACTACATACTACCATTTTCTGTGAGTTCAAGCGCAGAAAGTGGGCAACTTTAGACTGCGTTCCCCCGATTTATACTTTGCGGCGTACGCCAGCGTTTCCATCGTTACCGCGAGCAGAACAAGGTGTCGGGGAAAGCGGAAATAGATTATCGATCATAGGGCTCTAAGCGCACCAGCGTCAACACTCGCATAACCGGGTAGCGTTAGCGAGATACGGGGCATGAAAAGAGGTAGGCTATCGATCTATGCGCTTCCAGCGTTTCACCAGCGCTTTCACTAGCGTTTGACAGCGGCAGCGTATACGCAGGGTACGCGAAAGAAGCAGAGGAGCATGTAGAACATTACAGACATCGATTACGTGTTGTGAAATGTGGCGCGTGTAGCCACACCGCATCATTAGGCAATACCGTACTCTAAAATGGGTGCATTGCGCAGCGGTGTGTTTTGGGTGATGAAATTCGATATGCTAACGTGTCTCTTCGGTCACTTATTCCCTTTCGATGTTTTTTTATTAGTTTCGTTGTGTAATTAAAACGTTAATATCTTATTTAGATATGAAGTAATAGTTGCTTGTTTGTTGCGTTGTTGTTTGCGATTCAGTTCTATTTCTTTCTTCGTGCTTGGAGGCAACGCAGATAGATCGATTTTACTTTTGATGTGTCTTTTAGTTATTGTTTATTATATATATGAGTTGTCACTTGTTCTCGTCAAGGTTTTTTATTACTGTCGTTATGTCCTGTGTCGTCCATCGCTTCTTTCAGATATGGAGTCAGAAAGAAAAGATGTTATTTCATGCTTGAAGGCGCGAATCCCGTTGATGTAATCTACTTTTTACTCCTCCCCCACACCATACTACTAAAAAAATATTTATATCCATTACCTCTTCCTCGCACTCGCCGTCCTCAGAATCCTCAGGATGGCCGCAATCCCTGTCAGCTGCGGCGCAGTACCTGCACTGCCAGCATATGTCAGAGAGAGCAGGACTGACTGGAACAAAGACGGGCGAGTAACACACACCAGATCGATCTACCTCTTCGTGATTCGTGAAGGAAGGAACCCATTACCGAGATTAAGAAGAAAGTTATATGGGAAATTTCAAAAGAAGTAAACATCATTAAAGGTTAGGAAAAATGTCACACGAGTAGGGAAGATGTCATGTGAGTTGGGGAAGTGTTACGAGCTAGGGGAACGGCATGGGAAAGCGACTAAGGGCACCACCTCACGAAGACAAGGAGAAGAAGAGTGAGGCCGTACAGAAGCTCACTGTTACCTACAAAAGGAGGCGGAGATTTTGGTTATAAATCATGCTACTCATACATGACGTAACCGAGCAGGCCGCAATAGCAAACCCCAAACACAGCTATGCTGTAACATCATCCGCGAAAGGAACAAAACGGGTCACAAGAACAGACCTTCAGCAGAGCTACACTCTAGGAGTATCCGAAAAAAAAAAAATATAACCGAGCTGAAATTTTTTGTTGTTTTCTTCTCTTATTTTAGGTTCGAAGCCGCCTAAGAGGAGTTCCCCGTAATAAACTAAGACCCCGGAAAC